GCTTGACACAGGGGGAATACAGAGAGGGAGGTCCAGAAGACGGGCCAGTGGTACAGGCGTGAGGCAGAGAACGAGGGTCTGGTTTGGGTTGAAAAGCTAGATGAGCCGTCCACATTGACAAACTTGCAGGTCTGTTTCTAATGATGAGTCAGCCGTGATCGGATCAGGCACTTGGGCAGTTTTCCGTGGCTCGTTGGTCTAGGCGTATGATTCTCGCTTAGGGTGCGAGAGGTCCCGGGTTCAAATCCCGGACGAGCCCTCGTCAAGGGTAGCTTATCAGCCTCAAGACTCAATGTGCGGACTGTCAGCAAGATCCTGGCTCGAAAGGTCTAAGCTCAGGACCTGCTTAACCGAATCCCAAAGACTGCAATCGGGAGCTGACTGTTGGCATAGTCCCATTATGGCGGTGGGCAAAGCAGCTTTTGAGCTTGCTTTTCTTTTGCAGAAAGGTTGTTTCTATCAATGCAACAGTGATGAAATCAGACTCTTTCGCAGCACTCTGTGGCTCGTTGGTCTAGGGGTATGATTCTCGCTTTGGGTGCGAGAGGTCCCGGGTTCAAATCCCGGACGAGCCCACAGGTCTTAATAACGGGGCTCTCAGTAAGATCTTTGTTGATCGTCAACTGAAGCGCCTCCGTCTACGCCTAGAAATAAGCATGCGCTCTGCAGATGGCTTGTTGTTGGAGTTGTATTTGCAGTCCCTGTTCCTCCTCCTTTGAAAGCCATACGGCCAGCACACGTCACAAGCAGGAGAAAGTATCAGATGGTGTGGCTTTGTCCTTGAACCGTGGCTAAAGTTGTTTTCGATACCAGAGGTCCCCTAGAATGAAGTGGCGGATGTCCTTACTGCTTCCCATAGCAGCGCTTTCTCTCGACAAAGCTCTTTCTACTTAGTCAGCGGTGTTGGACTCAGACTTCTTTTTTTTTTACCCAGAAAGTGGGCTTTTGTGATTCGTTGGTCTAGGGGTATGATTCTCGCTCGGGTGCGAGAGGTCCCGGGTTCAATTCCCGGACGAGCCCTCCACCGTAACACCTTGACAGCCGCAAGGTGAAAAGTTGGGACTGTCAGCAACGTATTTGTTAGCCGTAAAGGACTTGCTCCTTCACCTCAGACTCCGACCGCACTCTCTGCAAGTGGTCCATCTCAGTGTCGTTGCAGTCACCTCCATCATCACACCTACGTGATTGGAAACAAAAGGAACTTGTTTGGCGAACCTCTACGTGGATGGGATCAGAACGGGTTTAATTTCCTCTGCCTGTAGTCGTCTTTCTAAGTGTTTCTATCGAAGAACAATCAATCCCAAAATCTGATTTTAATTTCGGTTTCAAACCTGGATGAGCCCCCGACAAAAGCGGCTCGTTGGTCTAGGGGTATGAAAGAGAAGGCGATCCAGAAAATGGTGTAGCAACACAGGCGGTAGATAGAGAACTAGATCCAGAAGTTGGCTTGACACAGGGGGAATACAGAGAGGGAGATCCAGAAGACGGGCCAGTGGTACAGGCGTGAGGCAGAGAACGAGGGTCTGGTTTGGGTTGAAAAGCTAGATGAGCCGTCCACATTGACAAACTTGCAGGTCTGTTTCTAATGATGAGTCAGCCGTGATCGGATCAGGCCCTTGGGCAGTTTTCTGTAGCTCGTTGGTCTAGGGGTATGATTCTCGCTTAGGGGGCGAGAAGTCCAGGGTTCAATTCCCGGACGAGCCCTCCACGGTAACACCATGACAGCCGCAAGGTGAAAAGTTGGGACTGTCAGCAACGTATTTGTTAGCCGTAAAGGACGTACGTGATTCGAAACAAAAGGAACTTGTTTGGCGAACCTCTACGTGGATGGGATCGGAAAGGGTTTACTTTCCTCTGTCTGTAGTCTTCTTTCTAAGTGTTTCTATCAAAGATAAATCAATCCAAAATCAAATCCAGCCAATCTGATTGCATTCTGCTTTTGGTTTGGGTTTCCAACCTTGACGAGCCCCCGACAAAAGCGACCCCTGTAATCACTGTCTGTTGGCATAGTAAAAAAAAAATCAATCCAAAATAAAATGCAGCCAATCTGATTTCATTTTCTTTTCATTTACCTCAAAGTTCTGCTCCTACATCCATTTTTGAAAGTAAAAACATATTACTAGTTTGAGTAATACACCTTACTGGTCATATAATATCAACAATATAAAAGGCCTCTGCGATACTGTGGTTGTTCACAGGGCAATGTTGCCCGATGCATTCCGATTGCAAAATCTGTTGATGTTTGGTCAGTAAAGACAACACTGCTCCCCTGTCCCTCCCCCCTTCCAGCTTCATTTTAAGCCGGTGTGTGGATCCACCTCTGTCATTCTGTACCGACATGTGGGCGTCCCTGCATTAGAGTAATTACACAAACAGGATTTTTAAAAATGTTTTTTATTTATTTTTTGTCAGGCAGGGGTGCCGCTGGCTGTCTGTCATTTGACTTTAACAGATGCTTGGCAACCCATCTGTGGGGCCAAAGCCTTTAATCACCTCTAAGTCCATTGGACGGCCGAGCAAAGGTCCTTAAGAGCTTAAAAAGCACAACTAGCACACTTTCACACACATTTACACACCAGCTCTGAGAGATATATTTAGTTGAGTCCTGGATAATTATGGTCTGTTGGACAGTTTGGTCTCATTGGTGATCTTAATGACAACATAGTCTCTTGTGGCATCATTAGTGATGTTGCAGGACCATTAGCTTCCTTCATTAAACTAACTATGTGTACATGTCTGAGGTCCTAATGAGATTAAATACATCATGAGTACAGATTTAGCATGAGTGGCCTAAACATGGAAGCCATATTGATTTGATCTACTGTTGTGAGCTACAGAGAGAAAACACTGTAAAAACAAAAACAACAAAGTTGCCATGACATCCTAAAATTTACCCTGAACATCAACATTGATTCAATTTATTTAATTTTGACTTTGTTCTGTCTCATTATCGTCTTGCCAATCGTCTGTGAAGCACTTTGAACTGTGCTATATGAATAAAGTTTGATTGATTGAATTACTGTATTACAGCAGCTCAGCATTGTAGAAAAAACATTTGCAGCAAGCAAAGAGACATGAAAAAAAAAGATAAAACTATAGTAAATGGCCAAACGTATGTGGACACTCCTGGTCTGTGGCTGTTTTTTATGATTTGAATCTTTTATTCTTTATTTTGTTCGGACAAGATAGAGAATTGAAGATGAAACCATTGGACTCTGTATTTATTTTACATTATTTTGTGCGGGAGGAAACATAAATAAAATAAAAATATTATAGAAAAGGAAAGACAAAAAAGGGCTAGTTCACACAAATTATAAAAAGAAAGAAAACAAAATATATTTATATAATAACATATTTTCTTATTTCTCGTGGTACAACAGTTTGGTTTCGAGACATCTGTCGCTGACTGGAATATCATAGTATGGTGCTGATGTGACTATAATAATCACTATACAACTCCAATCCCATCGAAGTAAATAAAAGAGTAGAGCAAATATTCTGTGTGGAGACTTTGAGGGGTGGCAGAAATATTTAATCACAAACAATCACATATATCAGTATTTGCTTGGAAAAACACCAAAATGAAGATATTTCAAATAATATTTCAACTCAAAATAATTATTGTGTCAGATTAGTGAAGCATTGAATAGAAATGAGTGTAAAAATGGCAATTTGAAATAATTTTTAGTCTTTTTTGATCAAATTTAAGCCGATCTTAAACACCAATTTAAGATCAGTTGGTGTAAAATGTGGCCATAACAGATTGTTTAATGAATTTCCATTTTTATCACGTTAGTTTTAAAGTTAATCTTTATTGATGTGTTAAATTTGAAAGCATTTAACACCAAACTAGGGTGGCAAGACATCTTGAAACCTAAAAATGGTCCCTGATTTGGACTGAAGGTCAGACAAAAAAGATATTTAACTGTGTCAATTTGGGCTCAGAGAAATTAAAAATATTTCATCAATTAATCAAGAGAATATTCTGTAGATTGTTACAATTAAAATCCATTTTTGTTTGTTTAAATCAAAGAAATTGAATATTTCCAGCCACTGAATGTTTCCATTTTCCATAACTATTTTTTCTCCACAATTACAAAAATGGAGGATGTGATTGGATTGTTGGATTTTTGATCAATAGGCAGTGATATATCAGGATCATGGTGAAATAAACATAGCAACAGAAGAGGTGCAGATTTAATAATCAACACAGACGGGTGAGAAAACTACATAATTATATATTTAGAGTGAAATATTCCTTATTCCTCACTACATCCACTTATAAAACTTGGACTGGGATTTGGAAGTGAAGTAAAAAAAATACTCTGCACAAGTGTAATATTATTTATTTATTATTTTAAAACTTTATTGTCACTTTTAAACAGATATAAGTCAAAAGGTAAAGAACATTAAGACATCATAATGAAAAAAGGATAAAATAACAGAAAGAAGAAAACAACATAATAAATAAATATAATAAATAAAGGAGTAACTTAACAGAAAACTATTCCTGCAGCATACTCAGTGCATGGACACTTTTTTTTAGACTCAACTTTATTTATAAAGCACCTTTCATACAAACTGAAACGACACATAAAAACCTCAAATAAAACTGTACAACATAAAACATGAATATTGATGTGTAAAAAATAATCAACAGGGAGACAAAATAATGTAAAAAAATAAATAAATAAATAAACTTATATAAACTTTCACATAACATCATGTGGATTGATCACGTGATGAGTTCTCATATAGGCCAATAGTTTAACAGTGAAATAACTCCTATAATAACACACACATATAGAATATATGAATATATATTATATATAATATATAATATATAATGAGCTCCTCCACCGACCCTGAGCGGCGGCAGCGGGGAGGGGGGGGTCCGTGGAGCCGCTCTCACTTCCGCGTTGTCTGTCACCGTAAAGCAGGAAGCGCTGTAGTAACGTTAATCCTCCCGGTTGCTGTTTACCTGCAGGTATGTAACGTATGCTCCGGTACGACGTGCCTCTACCGTCTGTGTGTGTGTGTGTGAGGGTAGCTACTGCGGCTAATCCCTGCGGACAGCCGGTGTTCGTTAACCGGGAGAGGAAGAGGAAGAGGAAGAGGAGGTGTGTGTGTGGGGGGGGGGTTGTTCGTTACATTCCGTTAACGGGGGCTCCGGTTTCTCTCCGCTCTCACGTTAACGGTGGCCGTTCAATGTGTCGTGTGAGGTCGTAAACAGGTGATCTGATGTTACAGGGTGAAGTCAGACAGCAGGAGAAGCTACATGGAGGCTAACTAACCCCCCCCCTCCACATACACACCCCAGGACCGAGAGAGGAACTGCGGTACATTACCGGCAGGATGCCAGCCGGTAATGTGTGTGTGTGTGTGTGTGTGTGTGTGTGTGTGAGAGACAGTGACAGTTAATGTGTGTGTGACAGTGCTGCGTTCAATGTCACAGTTTGGGCTAATAATAACACAGACAGGAGGATGGTGGAAGTTGGGTTAAAAAAAAAAAAAAAAAAAAAAGTGCAGTGGTGCGTTCACTGTCTCAGCTTGTGTGTGGCATTTGAGGACTTCCTGGTCTCACCTGTAGTCCTGCAACTGACACATCGGTTAATTAACAGGAAAGTAATGTAACTCGTAGTGTAACTGATTACTGTTGGCCGGGGGAATTAATAAAGTAATATTAAGAAAAAAAAATAAAAGGGGGTTTAAAAGTTAGTGGCAGTGGGTGGGTTTTTTTTTTTTGGGGTTTTTGGGGGTTTTTATCGGTTGTTATTCTTTTAGGTTTTGAGATGCCTTTTGGGTCCCGGTTTGGTGTCAAATTCAGTAATCACGTGTTAAAATGTGGAAATAACTATATTTTTTTTTTTTGGCTCTGTGTGTTTTTATGTAAGTGTTACTCTGATTTCTGTTAAAAGAGGCGTGTGTGGGACTTTATCACCTGTTTATATGTCGTTTGGGTTGTCGGGCCTGAGTACCAGTTAACGGTAACAGTGAAGACGTAAAAGTGTAAAAAAACCCACAAAAGTTAAGAAATTACTTAAAGTTATTTATTTATCAAACACTTTCTGTTTTCAGGCTTTTCTCTGTTTTCTAAAACTGTAAACTGAGTATATTTGAGTTATTGAGACATTTCAAGGCGTCACTTTCGGCTCCATGTGTCACTATTATAAAGCAGAACAATTCATGAATGAATCAAATATTAATTATTGATTAAAACAATTGTTTGAGCTCACTGTTGTGTTGCATTCAGGGGGTGTTTGGGATTCTGAATGTTATTGCTCGCCGCCACCATTTGTGAGATATTTAAAGGTCAGAAGTTCACCGTCACTTTTATCGGAGCAGAACTGGACAGGTGGAATTTACCCTACGTGCCACATCTGGGGCAATAAACAGCCGGGTGGTTGCAGCTAGCAGGTTGTGATAGCCTCTAATCGCAGATATTTTACTGTTGTCAGCGGCCCTGAATGCAGCCCGACCTCTCTGCTCCTGCTACATAAACGGGGCACATAAATAACAATCTGGACGCAGAGGTCAGTGCTGTGAGCTCACAGGTCAAAGGTCAGTCAGACAGGATTTTTTATTTTTTTTTTTGTAGCAGGATACGTCTGAAACCGAAAGCGAGCGAGTGTCGAACACGTCTGTCTATAGATAACGAAAGGTAAAGAAGAACAATGCTTCCCATTGCTGTTGACATTCAGCATATACTGCAGCTGCACTGACCTTTTTATGTAATCCTTAACACACACACACACACACACACACACACACACACACAGTGAAGGCTGTGTGGCTCTGACTGGAATCTGTTCGATGTTTAACTAAAGACTGATTTCACTTGGAGGACCTGATTGCTCTCAGTTCATGAAATATATGTAATATATTTTATATTTTATATATTTTATATGAATAAGACTTTGAGGAGTTGTGTTTCGGAGAGGGAACATTAGTGGAACTGGATACACTTTAACCAATGTGTCTTTATCAATGGTTTCTGATTTTAAAGCTTTAAATCTCACTCTTATTCTCAGTATTCAGCCTTCTGTGCTCGGTCAACTTCCTCCTTTCCTGTATTTAGATATGCTATATGCTAAACTGATCTATGTTGAAGAGACAACCTCGTGATATTAATAGTTAAACTGTGGCAGTTAGACTTTATACTGGAACTTGTGGTCTCACTCGTATTCAGCCGCTGTAGATCTTTAAAAAGTCTCTAAATGTGAACACTGACTACGTATAAAGATTAGTGAGAGATTCCCATCTGACAGGAGTCAGTGAGTCAGACCTCAACAGTTTAGCTTCAACTTATCATCTGTTTAAGTAATAACATTACCCACATTGTGTGTGTGTGTAAGTGCGATGCTGCAGCCGCTGTGTCACACATCCATCGTACGCTCTTCCTCTGAATCCTCCATCGCTCTTCTGTCCTCCTCGTGTCCTCTCTTTAACCTCTGTAGTCTTGAGCACTCGCCTAGTAGAGCGTGGCGTAAATAAACAAGTGAGTGCGCTGTCATGTCTGACAGTGTTTCTATTTTGGGAAAGTTGGACTTTGGGCGCCCTCGGCTTCCTCCTCCTCCTCCTCCTCCTCCTCCTCCTCCTCCTCCAGCAGCTGCTCTGGCAGGTAACCAGCTGCTGTTTACTGGAGCACCGCTCTCCCCTAAAAACCCAGTTGGTCACAAAGTGAAATGTGTGTCCTAAAGAGTCGTCCAGCAGACGGGCTCGCTGTGTTTTGGTGGCGGTGGTATTTCAGACTGCTGATGCGTCTGGATGCTGGCGTTTCGCTGCGGGCAGCGTCTGCCGCGTGCAAGGACTCTGCAGCCCTGCGGGCCTCGCGCCTGCTCTGTAATTACTCCCAGTGGTAAACTGCTGATTACATTAGCGGTAATGTGACACCTTCAGCATCGATCCCTGATGGGCTAATGCGACAGAATGGGGCGGTGTGTGTGTGTGAATATGTTAGTGATACACTGAATCTTCATTCATCTTCAGTCTGATCAGGTTGGAAAAGTCTGGAAAAAGCCGGAAGTTCTCTTTGATTTCCTAACTAGCTGGCAAAGATAAAAGCGACATATATGTGATTTTACACTCGCAGACTATTTTTTGGAGATCGCAGACAAACTGCCCCGAGATCATATGATCTTCCTAACCGGAAAGATCGGCACGGAAATCTAGATTCTGTCCACATTGTAAAAATTTCAGACAAATTAATTCTTGATCTCGGGGAAAAAAAAAATGTGCACAAAAAAAGGTTTCAACCTGCTGTTGTGTTCACTGTCACAGATACACAAGTATAATGGAAGAGATACTGTGTTCGGTTTCAAGCTGAATTAAGTGTTACAGCTCTCAGTTAGAGTGTGTGTGTGTGTGTGTGTGTGTGTGTGTGTGTGTGTGTGTGTGTGTGTGTTGGACAAATCAAATAAAACCTATAGCTTCCACTTTGAGTGATGATGAGTCACTCAGAGTCAGAAAGTGGACGAACCTGCGCTGATTTGCTGAGCTGCGTTCCTGCTATTAATAATCGACACTGATTGCCTGTGTGTGTGTGTGTGTGTGTGCGTGCGTGCTCACTCCTGGGTCTGTTGTGGTCTAGAGGCTCTCATTATCCTCAAAGTGTTAACCACCTCAATTAAGTCATTATGTAGGACAAACCCGCCGTCGCTGCCGTCACTCACTCTCTGCTGCTGCTGCTTTAAACTGAATGAACCGTCAGATCAGCACACAGTTGCATATGCAAAGATGAACAGACGGATGCACATAAATATATACACATATATTTGTGTGTTTGTTGTTATTTTAAGAGCACAACCAGTTCAAACTAGGGTAATGCCAAGCTGGCCGTTAGCAGGGGCATTAAGACTGTGGGGTAATTCCTGCCCCGTCAGTCTGTGGAGCTTTATAATAAGCAGTTAAAGTGACGTCTTACATTATGTGACTGTTACATCTGCAGCTGTAGAGGATCAGCTTTTCACTGAGATCGACCAACTTCTCTGTTTCCAAACGTCCAGGGAAAGCGGCGTTACCCAAGCGTTCTCATTTCCAGCAATTTTGAGGAACCAGTCACCCAAAGTGTGTTTGTTTTGCCCAAAAGTAATGAGGAGCGAGGCAGCGGCGGAGTAGAAAGACACAATAGTCATTAAAAAAGGCAATCACGTAAGGAGTCCTTTTCTTTTTTTAAATGACTATAATTAGCAATCAGAAGTAAAACAAATTAAACCTCCTTTCTTTTAGGACGGAAAGTGGGATGTATTCAAGATCACAAAGAGTTTGCATCAGTTCAAATGAGTCCAGAAGTGGAAGAAGTTGGGGTGGAGTTTGGTAGACTCAATCATCCAGAGTCAAAGACTAACAGCTGACTGCTTCGTGATGGTCATTTTATAAAGAGTGTCCTGAGATAACCTCTGTGGTGATTTGGCTCATGGAGGCAGTTACACTTTCCAGGAATATTATTAAGTGCCTGTTGTAATCCAGGTTTCGCCGTACTCGTGGGCAAACGGCTGTGTGTAACTGTAACTAAATACGGGCTAAAACAAATGGTGCTCAAGTTAGAGCTCAAAGTTTAACTCACTGAATCCATGGCAACAGTACATTTAAATACCCCCACAGCATTATGGGAACTGGGGGCAGTTAGGGTAGTAAAACTGAACATAAAGGTACATTTGATTGACTGAACGTCCCTCGTTCCACCTGCGATCCCTCGAAGCTTTATTTCCTCGTGTTGGAAGTGCTTTATATTTCCAGTTTGCTGTAAGTGTGTCTGAATGGATCAGGACCGCCAGCAGCGAGGTTGCCCGCGGTGTCCAATGAGCGCCTGGGTCACCCAGCATGCATCTGTATCCCAGGCGGAGTGTTCAGGGGATGCAGGAGGAATCAAAGTCGATGAAACCCGGCGTTGTTTTGATGCTCCGCCGGCTAATTGTATGCGTGCAGTCGGTTCCTGTGCTCTTAGGACGGTTCCTCCCTCAGTAGCTGGCTGTGATTTGTATGCATAGTGGAAGACGGTTTGTTCTGCAAAGGAGGATTTGGCCTAAATATAACTTCAAAGGAGACGTGCCTCCCTCTGTTTCCTCCGCCGGCCGCATCTTTGCAGACAGGGAAGCTTTTATCTTTGTGTTCTTGTTGAGCGACGCTCGGCTTACTGCGCTCGTGCACTTTTAGAAGGATTCTACAGTTTTCCTGTGGCCTGTTTTGTAGTCGGATGTCGGCTCGTGTCTCTATCGACGTCACACAGGTGTCGATAGAGAGACGCTGAGCGGCATGTGAAATGGCTGAGCAGCAAATAACAGGTTTAACTCAGTCGTACTCAGATTGTAGACATTACTGTATGTTAGAAGCATTAAAAACACGCCGCTGTGTGCGTGTGACAGT